ACCTGGTCCCGGGATTTCGATTCCCAACTGTGCTCGGAGATGGCTCTTTTCCCCGCTGTACTTCCGTCTTCGTCCGCATTTTCCGTCAATTCGAGTAATTTTCTGAGGGACTACGCCGTCGGCAAAAAAAAAGTCAGAAGAAGCGATCCGCCTATTTTTCCACGGAGTTGCCGCTGGATGGGAGCTTCCTGGGAGAAAGTGGGGAGGAAACGCCATCGAAGCAATCCGAATCGAATCCCACCGGAGGCGAGCGGAAGGAGCGCAGACCATCCGACTGCCCATCTCAATGGTCGAACGGACGGTCTGCAAGGCCTTAAGTCAGTTCCTATCGGCCCTACCGCAATTCTGAATCCTATCAATATTGCGCTGTTCGAGGTCGCACTTTGTTGTAGGGCCCCTGCTCGTAGACTGTCGAAAGGGATCGGAGGAAACGGCGCAAACGGCAACTTTTCTCTGAAGTACAAGGAATCCTGCCGGGGAAAATGGCAGTGCTCTCCTATTCGAATCAATTACCACCTTCCGTTCCCTCAGCCTTGGCGATTGTAGACGTTTCCATTGTATACTCTCAGACCGAAGCGGTCCGGCAAATATGCTTCCGTTTTCGTTCGAAATCGTTTCTTCTTCCCTACCTTAAATTTCCCTCGCTCTGGTCGGCTATCAGCCGACGTCGCTTCCATGGAAATTCCCGTGTGCCGGCGATCGCAAGATAGAGGCGGGAGCGGCTGAAGTGATGCGAAGTTTGATAGAGCTCCGGTCTCAGACGACCCGCTCCTTTAATCGCGATGTCCTGATGCTCAGATGAGCACTACAGAATACCTTACACAGAGTACCTACAGACCGACGATCCCGAATCATACCTCTAGGGTCTAGACTATCATCTCACCTGATCATGGGGTGTACGATGAATTCGAGCTCCATGTCCATCGAATTCCCCGCTCGCCGTGAATCCTCTGACCCAGAGTACCATCTCGTTTCTCAGGTAGGACGGGTTGTATAGTAAGCATGGAATCTGAGCACGTTCTGCGTGTCTTACGTCCCGCATCACATTACGGTGTCAGTATGAGCCTATCGGGAGCGGTCTCCTACCACAAGGAAGTCTTACAGCTTATAGGAAAGTAATATTGAGTTCTGTTGTAGGGGGTTTCGATTCGAGAATGTTTACTCCATTCCTAGCAGACCTACACCGGCTTCTTGTTTTCGTCCCTGACGTTGAGAAAGGAACGAGCGCTTCACCCATTCGATAGAGGGGACCGTTTCTTTCCTGTCTCTTCGGCATCGTCCGACAAAAGCCTTCTGTTTCAACCCCCTCTGGTTTCGAGCCAACGAGAACAGGGTTAAGAGCGTGACTCGGTAGGAAACCTGAGAAGTTTTTACTGTGCGAGCAAACAATTAGAGCGCCACTGCTACTCAGTGAGACGTCTCAGACCAGCTCTGAGCTGCACAGCTCGCTGTCACTGCCAAGCGGGAGCAGACTTGGCGAAGTACAGAGAAAAGCTCTCAAAATTCCGGTGTTGGATCGTAAGGCATGGACAGAAAAGGCACGCCGTCGCGTGAATTCTTGTCGGTTTGCAAGTTTCCGAAGAGACGAGAAAATTGAAAAGAAAGAGATGTTTTCGATCCTATGGTTCAACATCCAAGACGATGGGTGTGGGAAAACCCGGAGTATCGAGTCCCTCTGTCGGAGTCGAGACTCGCGTGCCCGCTGTCAACGGAAGTGGCAGACTCCATGCAGACGCGAGACAGCGCCGAGCAAGCTGCGAACGTCGCGTCGGACATTGGTAAGGATAGAGGGGGGGGGGCTGTAGTCGCAATTGTCTCCGCTGTCAACGATGCCTCTTGTGGTGCTTCAAAGTTTAGAATGTTGTCGGTCGCCGTTCCACGAGACGAAACGCTCCCTGCGCTCCCTGTGAGCTGTAGTCGTACTGAGAGAGTAGCAACGGCGCGCGACGGGGATGACGGCAGTGGTCGCGGTCGTCCTAATGGAAGCAGGAACGCTGCCGTCGAGCCGTAGCCGTGACCGTTCTGTCCAGCAAACTCACGCTCGAACGGCCGAGCGTCAATTTTGAGCCGGGACTTGATTAGGGTAAGCTCCCGAGGCGCTCTTCAACACTTTGCGCTGTCATGATGTGTCGAGAGACATCGATCCCGCGAAGGACTGACGTTCCCGACAGAACAGCTGATGAGGTTCGTTGGAGCAGGTCGAAAGCCTAAGATATCTGCGGTCGAAAGCGCGGTATCCCGGCAGATGTCGCCCGGGGCCGCAAGTTCCCGAGCCGAGCCGGGATTCTCCTCGATCCCCTCCCCCCGAGCCGGTTATCGCCGAGTCTCGCGGACTGAGCTCGATTCGGCACGCAAGGGAGTCCCCATGGGTTGTCGAAGACTTCTCAGACGTACAATCGTGAGGACATTGGCCGGCCTGCTACCGGAGTGTCGAAATGACGGATCAGTGGACACATCGGAATTGAGGATGCGAGAACTCCTTTAGAAAACTTCGAGAGCGGTCGCCGTATCGGACAATCCGCCACAGTCACGGTATTGCCGAAACAGGCTCCGTCCGCTCGCTCACTTATGATTCTAGAATGCACAACCGAGAGCGGAGGGGTTCGACTGGAGCTCGGTGGTCCGACCGCTCGCCCGGAGGAAGACATGAATATTCCAACGAGCGGATGACTTCTCGGCCCGTAAAAACGTGTCGTAACTCCGCGCTATGATATGAGCTTCCGGCGAACGGAGCGGATCGAGGAGCTCAGGGGGAGGAGCAGAATGGAATGAGCCTCGCTTGTTCCTTAAACAGTCTTTGAGCGCTTCGACGCTGCCGTCCACGTTGGTGCGGCTACAGCAGGCGCTGCCTTCGAGACAATGACTGAGTATTTTGGAAACTCCAGACGGGAACATTCGAACGTCCCACGGTGCCGTTAATTGTGTTGGAATAGGCAGCGAGCGACGGAGTGAATGGAGGGATGAGCAAACGAACGAACGAGCGAACGAACAATCACGCCGGGGACTCCGGTCCACTGCAGTCGCAAAGCGTGCACGAGTCTCGCAGTCGACAGTGTTTCAGCGAAAACGGCGCGACGCACGCCGAAAACTAGAGGAACAGGAACGGGACTTCACCGACGACAACCGGAAGCGAGAGTTGTAGTGCTCGTGGCAACAATAGCAACAACCGCTCTTGGATAGGTGATTTCGTTGTGTTTGGAGTCTTGAATCAGAATCGAGAACTCGGGGCCATCGGAAACACATGTAAAAAGTTTCAAAGAGACTGTCTACAACAGACGACGCGACCCACGCGAGCAGCGGTATGTCTGGCAATACAGCGTTTCTTTCTCTGTGTGCTCGTTCGCCCGTCTGCCGAGCCGTTTTTCTCCGTTCTTCTGGCCATCTGCTCGACTCGTTCGAAACGTGCGTCACAACGAACGGCGTGCGGAGCAAATGGCCGCGCGCTCCGGTATTGAGTGGAAGCCATTTAGTAAAAACGAGAGGCACGATGCAGGCTTGTCGGCCCATCGAGGAGATAGACGATAGACGAGGACGCTTGGGAGAACATTTTCAGGCGTGGAGAACCTTTAGCGAGTGGCGGGAAGAGCTCTACGATGCATTATATCGTGGGTTTTGCGGCCGCCTGCGCTCATTTGGATTTCGTTTCCCTTTCATTGTTCCCGCTGGAAGAATAAGACCAGGGATCGGAACCCCTCGTTCCCGATTCTGTTTCTCGGGCCGAGCGTCGGATTCCGTCCAGGCAGACCACTGGACTTCAGACGTCCGGAATCCTCGTTTTATCCGCAGAGAATTTTCTTACACGACATTGCTCTGCGAGCTCGGCCCCCATGTCGTTAGGCTCACAGGCTTGGAGACAGGGAAGGTCCATCCATTCTTTCGGTCCTGGGCCTGAATACCGAACGGCACCAGAGCTTTTCGCGTGTGCTCGTCTGACCCTTATTATTGCAACCGCAGTGATCGGTGTCTTTCGTCGTAGACCTTCCGATGCGGTCGAATCTTCTAACCGAGGGCTTGGAAACCGGGCTCGTGCCATAGGGCTCGAGCACGCGCACACTTGTTCAGCGACTGTGAGACTCGTCTGTTGTAGTTTTCTTCCCATTGTCCGAGAAGAGGGATTCTCCTGTCATTAGTCTACCGGAGAGAGAACTCGTATATCAAGAACGTCTCGGGCTCCGCCGCGCCGTTGAGACCACTGGTGCTCGTCGTGCTGATAACGTTGTCACCGTCGTTGCAACCGTGTGCATTCAGCGAGGGAATTAAACGGGTTAAATGACGCGTTCGCATGGCAGATCTCGGTCGCGGGTTAACAACCAGCGGTTTGCGTCCGAGTGGAGAACGTCGTATCTCCCCGTTCCGCTTTCCGTGGCCCGGTTTTCGCTCTTGACAATCAACCTCCGTACACCCCCCTTACGCTCATCAAAGTCGACAGATACACCTTTGTGCGAGAATTCGATGCGATGTTTGAAGGACCCATTTTATACGAATCTGCCGGAGGCTTTCCGATCAGCCACCGGCAGCGGAAACTGCAAGTCCTAAAGCAAACGACATAATGATTTACTGTCGCATACGGCGTACGGCTAGCGCCTGCATGTTTCATGTCGTATTGCTCCTCCGTTCTCTTCAGAAGCCGAACGCTCTGTTTGTTCCGTGACGCCGTGCGTCGACTGTGCACCGACCGAATCGCGCACCTACCCACCCTCTCCACCTAATGCCCCAATTCCATATCCGTCCCAAAACTCAGCCCGCTGCTCCGATTCGACCTCATTCATAAGATTCCGATCGAACACAAGCACAAGCATTCCATTAATCGCAAAATCGACTAGCCTGGACTTAATCTGGATGCGTTCATTCATTCACAGGGCGTTCTCCCCGCACTGCACTTGCCTGCCTGATCGCACAGGCGGTTCCTCCAGCAGCCAGTTCGCCAAACGAGCAGCTGAGGGCAACCCGATCGACCCGCGAACAGCCTTGCTAAGAAAAGGGGGGCCGCTACTCCAAGCATGGCCTCGCAGGGGGTCCCAGTTCCGGCCGATCTCGAACTCGAAAACGGCAATTCTCCTGTCGACAATTCGCCCGACTCGAACCCCTCACAATCTTCCCCACCAGCCGTGGCGGCTAACCCTTCCGCGCCAACTTTGGACAACGACCGCACGCCGGCCGCTGGCGAAGGGATCAGTTTCGCCGACGAACTGCGTCAGATCGAGGCAACGGTCGGAGCCCAACACCACCACGGTGGCGATGACAGCGGCGCCAGCGGCGATTCATCACCGAATTCAGGAGGACCGGCAGGAGATTCGAAAGGAACCGATGACAACCGGAATGTTCGAGGAGAGCCCGTCGACGTAAACGAGAACGTTTCACCAATCGAGCAGCGGGCACCAGACCTGAAGAAAGTACCTTCTGAGGAATCGGACTCACTTTCGCCGTCCACTGCCTCTTGTACAGAGTCGACCAGTGTCGATAGTCAGAGGGTGAAGGCGGACGGAGGGAACGGAGACGACCTTACGCCGAAACAAGAAACCCGTCCGAGCGAGAGCAAGAAACAACATACGCGCGCCCCTTCCATGACAGTTAGTGATGTGGAAAAAATCGACAGTGAGAAACGAAATGGGAACGGCAGGGTGAGCATGACCGAAAAGTCCGAGAGCCTCGAAGTACAGCCGAGCTCTTCGAGGGAGCCGTCCCTCGACGCAGACATCCCGAACAACGTTGTCGCTGAGCACGAAGCGCCGTCTCCAGCGCCGTCTTCCCACAACGTAAACGTCAACGCCAGCAACAATAACAATATCAGCGGTGACGGCGGTAGCAGCAACCAAAACAACAACATGAGCAATCACGAAAACAACAACGGGGACCGCGCGAACAACAACGAAGAGGAATCCGCGGGCCAGGCGGGACCCCCGGCGCCGGTGGTGACCGCTTCGTCTACAGCGGCTCCGGATCGGAAAGAGAGCATCATTTCCCTAAGTGACCTTCCGCTCCCCGATTTGACCGACGACGAGGCTTCGAAAGCTCGACGAGATTCGCGTGATCAGGAGAATCCAAATATGGGGCCGGAGATTACCTTCCGGAAAGCCAGTAGCGCCGCCGGGGATGGTTCCAGACGAGAGTCCCGGGCTGGCGAAGTAGGAGGAGCTCTTGAAGACGGGGGTGCGGTCACTACGTTGCTTTCCAGCTCTGCCGCAATCGTCGAGAGCGTGGCCATAGACAATGCTGCCGTGGACCAGCCCACCACGGCGGGGACGACGGCGACGGTTGCAGATTCCGAGGGGTCCCCGACCAGCGCCACCAGTGCTCTGGCACAATTGCTCTCGAGTTCAACTCTAATAGCCGAATCGGTAGCGCTTCCCGAACCTGTGGCGGAAGACATTGTGGCTGCGGCGGTAGCCGCCGTCGCCACGAGCGCCGACGACGAGGTTGACGGCGTCGACGGCATCCAGCCGGGACACCCCGCATCCGAAGGTGCCATTTCAGCTCTGCTGAGAAACACCGCTTTGTTAGCTGAGAGTGTAGTCGTACCTGAAGCTCTAGAAAAAGAGGACAGCGAACCGCAGTCAACGCAGAAGAGCGACGTATCGAGAGACGTCACCGAGACAGCTCAACGAATCGTTGAGCGCACGTGCGATGCGGCCGCTGACCAAGCGGCCTCGATTCTGGCGTCTGACGCTGCAGCGCCGATTCCTGAACCAGAATACGATTTCGGCGAAGCCCTGGAGAACTTGCGAGACATAACACCCATACCGGACGAAGGGTCAACAGTGCCACCGACGAAAATACCCGACGGCGACACGAAAGGCGAATTGAGCAACTGTGATGAAAAACACAATGGAGTGAGCTGTGATAGGAGCGAGGAACTAGACGAAAGTACAAACCAGGGAGTCGGCGGTGCGCAGGGTTCGGACCGCGAGGAGCATCAACGCCGTCCGTCGGATTCAGGGTCGATCGGCATTTCGTCCAGGAGAACGTCGGCGGTGAAGGTGGCAGGCGCATCCGCCATCGACGAAGACGTCGCCGAACCGCTTGCGACTACTTCGGACGGGAAACGCAAGTCTAGTGGTAAGGGCTTGAGCTCCGGCGACGGCTTCGCTCCGCATGCGGCTTTCCACCCACAGATCACACAGAGTTTAACCCTATCCGTGGCTTAGAATATGAGATTTCTTATTTTTTAATTTTCCCGAACTCGTAGCAGGCATGACAGATTCTTTCACCATTATCTCTTACAGGAGCACTATCCAGCATGTTCTCGACCTTGGGAAGCTCCATATCCAATGCAGGACAGGCGCTCTCGGCCAAAATCGCAGAAGTCGGTGACGACGTCCAGAGAAAATCACAGGAAATCGGTGACAAGGTCGAGCAGGCTGCGGCTTCGACATCCGACAAGCTTCAACAAAGAGTCGCCGACATCGAGAACCAAACCCAGAGAGCCGCTGAGGATCTGAAGCAAGCCGGTGGCGATTTCGCTACGTCAGTCAAACAGTCCACGTGCGACGCCGCTGATTCCGTCAAGCAATCCGTGTCCGACGCCAAAGACACGCTCGCAGAGAAATCAGCTGAGCTCGCCGATAGTGTCCAACAAAAAATTCAGGAAGCGGAGACTGCCGCCAAGGGAACCGCGGCCGAGGCTGCGAGGGCCGCCACAGACGCAGTCGCCAGCGCTTCAGGAGCTGCCACAGAAGCCGCAGAGAGTGTCAAGAAAGCCGCGAAGGAATCCGCCGAGGAGTGCGAGGACGCGGTGAAACTCGTGGCCGAGACGGCCAAAGCCACGGTGGCCGAGGCAATCGCCGGAGCACAGGAAGTGGCTGGAAAGGTCGCCGAGGGAGGAAAGAACGCGGCAGAAAGCCTTAAACAACAGCTTGATGAAAAAGTTAGCAGAATCACAGACGAGGGTCAGGAACTGGCCACGAACACTGCAACGTCTGTTGGGCAAACGGCTGACAAAGCCGCAGCTGTCGTTGCAGGGGCAGTGCGGGAAGTCGATAAGAAGCTACAGGACTTAAAGGACACCGTGAGTGAGAAGGAGGAGAGTACAAAGCAACAGGACAAAGTTGATGACCAGAAGGGATCCGCCAAGGCTCATCAGGCAGCCACAGCGGATGGAGCGGGAGAAGCGGAGCCAGAAAAGAAGGAGGGAGAGGGAGTGGGGATTTCCCAGGAAACCACGAGGGACGCAGCTCCCGAAGTCCCGACTTCAGCCAATGTCGGTGAGTCTGTGGGCGACCACGTCGAGAATAGTGCCACGGCAGCTGCTCCGGAGAGCTCCGGGAGCAAAGCCGTTGACACCGTCGATATCAAATCGATCGCAATAGAGCCGAATAAAACAGCTGATGACGGTGAAAAACAAAAAGCTGCTGATGTCAAGGATGCCGTTGCGGAGAAAATCGAAGATATTCAGGAGGGGACGGTTGAGATTGCGGACGACAAGAAATCTGACGCCTCCACCGCGAGTGGAGCGCGAGAAATAGGAAACAAGGGACAACACGATGACGGAGGAAAGCCCCGATCATCGTCTGGAGATATTGTTCCGACTGGAGTGGGAGATAAGGCTAGCGCCGGACAAGACGGTGGGGCATCCGTCGCTCCCGAAAAAACTTCAGGCGCATGTGCTGCGAAACGGGAAAGTCTGCGTCCGGAGCCAGAAGCCGACCAAGCTCACGGTCTTGAGGATGACGGGAAGAAGCCGAAGGCTGCCAGCTACGTTGCTGTTGCGGAAACAATGGAATCTGCCAAAGAGACCATCAGCGAGACTTCGATAACGCCTGGAAATCTAGATCACCCCAAAACGAGCGACTCCAGAGGAACCCCCGATGCGGGACAGGTAGCCGTCGTGGGAGACCCTGCGGAGACTCCTCGAAAAATGTCTGTCGTCAAAGACGGCGCGGACTCTTCGCAGGTATCACTGACCGCCGCCGCATCCGCCGCGAAAATCGGGGATTCCCTTGCTGATGTCGCTCAGACTCGGGAATCGGAGATCGTCGCATCCGACGCCGAACCCCAAACGGAGGACATCGGAGCGACGCTCGAAGGTCAAAGAGTCACCAGATCCGATAGTGTTGCATCACAACCCACAGTAGATTGTGGTCGTAAACAGAGCAAATGCGAAGTTGATTCTGATCTTGAGGCGTCGGTGAGGCATCAGCTGTACACTGGGCCCGAAGAACTAACTCGCGCCGACACCGGGTCGAAGAGCACCGATAACTCGGAGGCTCTCCCACGGAAATCGGTGGACGAAGCTATACTGGTTCCAAGTCATGCTCCCAGCCTGACGGCCGGAGCCACCGATTCGGCTTCTGCCGTCGCTAGGAACGATTCTTCGACAACTGTTCCACCTGTGAGTAATTATTTCTCGAATCTCCGAAAGGTCTCGCGTCTTGAATTTCCAGTCAGCGGAAGAGCTCACTCCTGACATTCTTCCTCTCAATCCCGTACCTCAGGTCGAAGCCAGCACAAACAATGTGGGTACCGGCGCTGCTGAGGAGGGTACGCTGCTCAAGAGATCCGCAGAGTTGTCATCCCTCAACAGACCCCTTCAAACTTCACCGAATCAACCCACGGCTTCGTCGCAGAACGAGGAAATGGTGAGTGAAGTTTTCGCAGTTCCCATCGGGTTTTTCCTGGCGGCGATACCTACCCGTTGCTCGTTATTGCTCTTCGCTCTCTCGATCTATCTACCTTTCCGAAGCACTCCACTCGCACGCAGTTTCGAGTGGGCTTGAATTACGCTTCTCCGCACTACTTGCAGAAAACTGATTCCGCACCGGGCGTCGTCGACGAGACAGAGTTACAGGCAGATTCCGATGCAACAGTGGAGACTGAAGTCGGTTCTCAGGTTAGCGTCGCTCAGGATGGAATGCAGGCGTCTCAAAGCGAAGGAGAGCTGGAGAACGAGTCCGAACCCGCGGACAGCGATGCTGATCGTCGTGGCTCCGTCGAAACTCAAATCGAGCAAACATCTGCAAAGGAATCGAGGGACTCGGCGATTCTAGAGAAAGACGTGGATTCGACGAAGGAAGAATCTGGGCTTGATCGAGACATGGACGACGCTGCTGGACCCGGAGGATGCCAAGCCGCTACTTCTTCTTCGGATGTCGACGAGGCAGGCGACGGCACCACAAGCACTGCTGAGGAAGCTTCTGCCGACCGAGCACGAGCGGCCCCTGCAGAAAATTCGCCGGAAACTAAAGCGGCAGCGGAGCCGGACTCGATGGTGGGAGACGCTAATGAGTCGACAGCACAAGGTGCCGAAGAGGAGGCGACAGCCAACGACGCCGAGTGCGGGGAAAGAAAAATAGAAGCAGAAGGTGCAGCAGAAGAATCCGCCAAACAATCACTCTCTACCGAGGAGGAAGCGGCGGCAGGGTCTGAAACGCTTGACAAAGAATCTGCCGCCGAGACCTCTGTCGAGGAAGCTGAGGAGGCTCTCGATCACACCGCGGCAGGCGAGAAACCCGGGGACTCAGAAGGCCCGGGCACGGACGAACTCCCAAACGCTGATCAAGCCGAAGGGAGGCGGCGGCCCTCTGAGGAAGCGGCTGGAGACCCGGAAGGTGATGTTGAAAAAGTTGAGAGTGTCGCCGATCAGCTGACCTCGGACCAGCCGGCTGAAGAGGGAGCCGCAGCCCAAGAGTGTCCTTCCGCAGCCGAAGCTGAAGTCGATTCCGGACTGGCGGCAGATGCTCCGGCAGAAACTGCAGACGCGATTGAGGATTCCGCTGTCGAGACGAAAGACGAGGTTCCGGCCGACGAAGGCGGTGAAGGAGCTGGAGTAGCTGCCGGAGTAGAGGAAGAATCAATTGAGCCCGCGACAGAGACAGGAATCGGAGTAGCAGAAGATTCGGATCAACCCGAGCCCGATACTGCGTCCGTTCCAACGGAAGGAAGAGCTGAAGTTGGAGACGACGAAGTTGGGCCCGAAGCGTCAGAGAAGACCGCGGAATCTGGAGCAGTCAAGACTGCCGGAGGGGCCGTGGATGTCGACGGCGAAGAAAAGACCGAAGCGGAGGAGAGACCAGTCGCTGTCGACGAGCCAGTCGCCGGAGAGTCAGAGACCGAAGCCGACCCGCCAGCCTCAGGAGAACTAGGGGCCGAGGTCGAACCAGCGGAGGGTACAGCTGCAGAAGAGGATATGACGGCAGCCGAGACTGAAGCTGGGGCTGAAGAAGAAACCTCAACCGCTGCCGCCGCCGAAGACGCAGAACAAGTCACAGAAGACATCATCACAGCCGATAGTGCGGCTGAAACGTCGGCGACAGAGAGAGCTGAAGATGAATCAGAGAAAAAAGATGCCGAACACGACAAATCCGAAGAGAAGAGCGATAAAAAGAAATGGATGCTGCCAAGAGCCCGAAACCCAAGAGGAAAGCTCGCTCACCTGAGAAGAAGGTAAAAATCTCTCTAGACCTCCGTCCATTGAATCCTATCCTGAGGGGGTCGTCAAAGAATGGTGTCAGCAGATTCACACGTGTATGATGGAGAGTAGGAAAGCTCGTGTCTCACTCACAGATTGATTCGCGCTCGCATTTCACGAATTACGATTCATCGCCTTCCGAATTCTTGCCCGCTGACTCTGGAGAAGACTGTTCTTCTGCGTGATGGGAATTTCCGTCCCAGATCTCACTCGCGCGCTTAGCACCGACTTCTCGGATGAACTCTCTATTTCGAATTTCCGGGACACATAGATCCATTGTGCCAGAACTTTGAATGCATGAGACGAAATACATGTTGGGCTGGAGGCGCGGAGAACTAATGGCAGTAAATATTTAGGTGAAGAAAGCCCCAAAAGCGGACGATGCCAAGGTCTCAACAGTGGCCGCCAAGAAGTCGATGGATAACAAGAGACCATCGTCGCCGAAAAAAAGCCCCGTGAAGAAGGCTGATGACTCCAAATCGACCAAGGTGAGTGCATCCCATCCGAGGCGGTGTTGACGCCCCAACTGGACAGCCGTGTCTTTCAGACGAGGCGTGATTACGCATTCAAACAATATTCAGTTGAGTCCCACGCTCCGCAGAGCTCATCGAAACCCGGATCACCGAAGAAGATCACCAAAAAACGTGCCACATCGGCATCAGTCGAGAAGAAAGACAAGAGAGAGCACGGAGTTGAAAAAGCCTCCAGAGACATGAGCACTTCGGAGAAGGCCACTGTTAAGAAATCAGCTTCGCCGTTCAGCACCGTCAAGCCTAGGGTCGACTCGCACCTCAAAGAAACTAAAGCCAGCTGTGAGTCAGGTGTCCTTTGGGGCCGAACTTGATCATGGAATTTCGAAGCCGAGCACAGAGAAAGTGAAGATTTTAATTTCCTGCAGCTATTCGCCGGGAACTCGTTCTCAAGTTGGATCCTTCGCGCGCGAGCGGGGAGAGCAAGAGCGAAGTTAACACTCCCATGAACCGCCCTCAGTCTCCCACGAAGAAAAAGCGATCCAAGGAAGCACCTGAAATAGGTGCCACCAAGAAGAAAACCGTTCCATCCAAACGCGCGAAAAGCGCCGCTCCGTCCGCATACAGACGTTTCATGCAGCAGGTCAGAAATCTCCGGATGGAACGAATACAGTCTTGAGTTCCACAATTATTAAATTCGTGAATTTCGATTTCTCTCTTGCTCCGAATCTCGACTAAGGACAGAGATCAGCGACTTCATTTCTTGGTGAATCAGGGGGCACCTCCGTGGGGCTCCCTCCGCTGAAATAGAGCGGGGTAATGGGTTCTGGCTAGTTTAAACTCTCCGTATCATCATCGCGTTTCTTTCCAGACTAATTCAGAAACGGTCTCTTCGATGCCCACCAAAACGAAGATGAAGAAATCTCCCAGCGCCGATCTCGACGCTGTCAAAAAGTCTAAGCTTCATGGCAAGAGCAACAAAACGGCAGCGAGCAAAGAGAACTCGGACGCTCTTACCGGAATGCCCAAATCCACATCATGTAACTCGGATCTTGCCACAAAAGTCAACGTAAACTCAACAACCGTCAACACGACCTCAGCGAAAAGAACTAAGTCTCCCAGCAAACAGGTCGTCCGTCCCCCCTGGACTAACTACTTTAGCTAAGCGATGACATCCTTCAAAGACGCAGTACCACCAGCTATATTGTAACTCTAACTTTTTTCTAACCACAATCTTCTACACTACTACGACCGCCGCCATCACACAAGACAGCCGAAAAACCACGACAACGGTCATGAATGAGAATTCAATCAAAGAGTATCCAACAATGACAACGAGCAGCTTGAGCGTCGATGCCGGTATCATTTCAACCGGAGACCTTTTCGGATTTCCGGTGTTTTCGACAAAGTTCGTACAGCTTACCAAGAAAATCAAAACGACCTCGAACGAGACGAGGACATAATCATACTTAGCTAAGTCCATGATTGAGACTATTCTGTCCGGAAGGACAATTTTCGAATTCTCTTTCTCCTCCTGACTCTCCCCCTCATCGAGAATCTACATGTTAACGATTGATGATTGCCAAAGGCATTCACTCAATTTGTAGCTTGGCCGGCCTCGCCTACAATCAGATGATGATCCGAATGATGAGCTCTTGGATGATATTGCTTCTATCCGTCTCTTTCCCGGATTTCCTTTGTTTTCTCTTTTGAGGACAAGGATCGACCCGGAGGAACATTTCATCAAGTACAACGCTTTATCGGATCGCACCAGCCCTCCAGGAGGAAATCCCCTCTACGAGTTGCTACCTGTCGCTCGGCCGGGGCGACCGAAAGCTTCCGCATATATTGGAGAGAGCTTCGTGTAATGGGTGGGAGATGGTGATCGACGACCGCATCCGACTGTCGGATAGGATAACGCTCGGATGGTCGGAACACTCTGTTGGTTTTGATGACTCCCCTAGTTTAGGATTGAGAACAATCCCTAGGTGCACCCCGAGCTCATTATCCTCCTCTAATGAAGGAGAATTCAGAGACGGATGTTCCATAGAAGAATCCAGCTTTCGACGCCTGCGATCGGGCAATGGGTCGGCCTTACGATGCGTTAGGCTGTCGGAATACACCTTGCGGTCTATCGAACTCCTCCGGGACGGTCACGGTTATCCCAGGATCGACAGGTTTTATTGACCACCGTGTTCTTAATATTCGCAAACATGACATATTGAAATGAACTGTCCGAATGACGCAGGATCAGCAGCAAATGCCGCGGAGACTGAAAAAAGATTTCGGCAACGGATCGGAGTCGAACCCCATTTTTCGCGGACTTCGCGCCACGAATCCCAAAGTGTAGGAGTCCGCCTCCTCATGGATGATTTCGGAGGTTGAACCTTCCGGGTAGGACGCTATAGCTTCCACCCACCTGCGTAGTTGCTATGAGCCGCCTCGAATGGGAGTCCTAGCGGTGTTACCCGGCAGCCGTCACAGCAATGCTTTTTATAGAAACGAAATGGAAGATTTACATACTTATGAATACGACTTATGATATAGGGATTTTTGAAGGCCATGGTACCGGGGTAAGTACCCAACATCTACCTAGGAAAAAGAAAGCGATCGATTTCGCAGGAGTCCAAAGCAGCAATGAATTGAAATTCGGATTCAGGCCGCGGGTCGCTGAAGGCGACGCGGTGCCGACGTCGCGACGCCGAAAAGGAGAGCTATCGGTGTCGCTTCGAACATTAAAAGCAGCAGAGTCTATCATTGGAGCATTGCCAGAGAGTTATCTGACTGTTTATCTGCTGAACTGAGAAGACGACCTATGAGGGATGGAGAATGATCGTCGGAGGAGCCCACACCGGCGTGTTTGCCTCGACTTTGGGGAAAACAATTGTGGAGGAGTCACGGATGGATGCGTGGTCCGAGGAAGAAGAAAAACCCACAAACGATGACAGTTGAATCCAATCCTTAATATGCATAGTCAAAATGGAGTTTGAGAGGTTTTCTCAAGTCGCTTAGAGCATTACCTTAAAGTTCCAAACAATTTCTTCCGCAGGCACTGTGGTGCTGTGAGGTATCGAGAGTTTTCTGAAATTCTTTTCATCCATTCCAAAACTTATCTTCCGGGAGGTATTCGAAACCTCCCAATCGAGCAGTAGTTTAGCGCTTCCCAAATGACTACCTTTGTTCTAAGCCGATAATTGAGGTCGAGGAAGCATATATCCATGATCTAATTGAACGGCTAATCGAATCGAGGGAAGCTGATCGAAGATGATTCAGAAATTAATCATCCCAATGATTCGTTCTTGAGTGACCATTTCCTCTATGTTCCCTCAAGATGAGGACCGTTCCCGAGCTCAGAATTTCTCGTTCTCCCTTAAATGAACGGATAGTTCGGCCCTAGAATATCTAATAAATGTCGATTGAGGAACTCTCAAGATACGAAGTGCTTTTACCTGGGGAATATATTCAGAGAGACGCGGGACTGGAGCCTTCCTTCATTTCGCTTTGATCCAGCGTGTTGCGAAGCTATAGAGTCTACTAGAAGAGTAGAAATAAAACATTGTCCGCTCGTTCAATCGTTCGCTCGGACGTCTCTTCCAGGAATTGAACGAGCGAGAGAGAGGAGGGATCGGGGAACTAGGATGGAAAAGTAATAGCAAGTTAAAACGAAGAGAGAGGCCGTTGCCAACTTAACGTGCCCGATGAAGCGATAAGAAGTTTCCATGACTATCCGCCTGTTTGTCTCTTCAAGTGACGAAAGTGAGGAAACAAGGAGGACGATTATTCAGAATCTTCGGATTTCGTATATTCTGAGTCCACGGAGCTACTCGACTCATCTCTTGAGAGCAACTATAATAATAATTATAAATTATTATATCATTATTAATTATTACAAATATTATAATTATTATGATGATGAGCACGTTATCCTCGACCATCGAGGTGGCAGATACCGGCCTTGAGCTAATTTGTGTTAGAAGTACTTGCGAAAGCTTTGGAATCGGAGGGAGATCCACATGGAGAAACTTGTTGTTATGACGGAATGAGACTCATCGTTGTTGAGTGAGTCATGAGTAATGGCCGCCTCACGCGATCTGTCTGTCACATTCATTCCCTTGTTTGCAATCGTTCCGGAAACCGGTTTCTGCACTGGTTTTCCGAGCTGCGCTTTGGTTCGAAGTATTGATGAGATCCTAGATCTGTTGCCGACTATGGATGACCAGACTGCGCTAATTCGAAAACTCGTGCCGTCATACCGCTCCCAAGACGCAAAATTGTGTAGCAAAGAGACCGTGGATGAGAAACTGCAGGAAAAATTCTCGACGCTGCAAAGCAGGGACAGCTTGAGTTTTCACGCTTGGAGTCCAGCGACCCCACAGCGATAATCCCGAGAAACGCATCCACAGCCGATGAATGAGGACAAGTACCGAGCTTTCCGGGACGAGACAGAGCCGGAGGGGGAACGTCTGGATGGATATCTTGACCGAATAATCTGATCCAGTCGATTATTGACTATTCGTCTCCCGGGGAATTTGGGGAAATAAAAGCGAGGGAAGAAGATTTGATGCCCTTCAAGAAGACCTATCAGATGAAAGAGAGCGGCGAAGCGGGGCCGAAGGTAGCCGATCCTTTTCGTCACTCCGAGAGACTTAAGATTACTACAACCAACAAGATTAAGCTTGGCAAATATTTTAAGAGCGGCTGTCCTGAACAGGTCCCCGGTCGACACGTGAATGGACTTGAATAATTTTCTATATATTATGATGAATAAAGTTGCTGGTAGTCATTTGGAAGTTAATCGACCACTGTGTGATCCTTCATCTGCATGCTCCTGTCCCGCGAAATATATAATACAGTGAAACGCTTCGCTATACTGGAGATCAGTCTCAAGGAAAGTTTTCCTGAATGCATAGGGTCTCGATTCCAGGCTCCTAAAGGAACGAAATCTCCTCTGGTCCTCTTGGGAGGGCAGACCGAGTTGCTGTAAGAGAGTATTATAGCTTGCGAGCAAACTGGGAGAGGAATTCTTCATGCTCGATCAGAGGTTTCATTCGCAGATGGCACAGTATCTGTTGAGGAGGTTCCGCCGTCTGACACGGAGGCGGGGGTCAGGTTCCGGAACTCGGGATAATCTGGTCCCATCCGCTCACATAATGCAGTCGAGAAACGGATTCTGATCCGATGACGAGAGCAGCCCGCGCGGAACGGGCACGAATGAATATTATTGGGCTGCTTGACCGAAGATACCGTCAAAGTACTATTCGGACTCCGAATCAATTTATTCCCTACCCCTAAGGGCTGCCCCGAGAGTAACAAACTTCATATAACCGTCCTGAAGAATTAATCCGACGATTCCGACCCGCATCGAGAGGCATCCCTCAGAGTTCGTATCTAAGGGAGCCCAGTCATCATGAAGCCTAGGGAGAGTTTTTTTCCAGTAGTTCGCCGGACCCGGAAGGGAAAATTCTCGGGCATCCGGATCCACGCCGCACTCCTCCGTACGAGGAAATGAGATTCGACGTTGTGAGTTCATCTCGTGGAGTTCACTGACATTGTTCGAGCCGGGTGAACATCAATATTAACGGTCTGTGGATGTACATGGTCGCAAAAAATCCATCGTGAAGGAATTCATTGCTCGACGACGTAATCGCGGAGCTCCATCAAAGCAATGCTGTTCATCAAATCGAAGTGCATCGCGCAGTTTTGGATTCAACGCTCTCGCGGCGTGTAACGGACCACTCTCGGGAACTCCTCCATGTCCCCTGGTATACATACAGCCTCGGCTGCCATGGTAACGTTTCTATGTCGGTGGCCTGCGGAAAATAAGTCGACGGATGTTTTCGGTAGCTAATACGGGCTCAGCTGATTACTGTTCCACATGGAAAAGTTCCTTGGAGGCAAAAAACGTCTCTGCGTCATGTCAGACAAAACCAATCGAGACGAAGGAGGCCAAGATCCAGGTGGTTAAACGTGCGAGCGTCGAGGTGCAGACCCTGACGGACAAGGACAGGACGACTGAGGAGCCCCGGCAGTACGATAAGCCCTCGCTGTACGCTTTTCTCAATCGGGTTACGCCGCTCATGATCCGAGAGCTCGAGCGAAATGCCAAAAGCACCGCGTTCGCCCACCTGCAGCACGAGTCGAAAAAACTTTCCATTGTGCAGCTGGGGCAATTCAGGCAGAACGAGGCATCGGCGAAGTTTGCAGCGCTATGCATCGCCACCGACGGAAACGAGTTGGCGGTAGGCTTCGGGGCGCTCCAACACGACGATTGGTGCGATCACCAAGCGAAGCTCGCGATGTTTCAGCGGAAAGACTCGTCGTCACGAGCCCAGGTTTTCGACATGGACTCTTGCGTGTCCTGCGTGAGCTATAACGATCGGAAACCGATAGTGACATGCGGAATGTACACCGGCGAGGTGCTCTGCTGGGAGTCCGAAGAACAAATACAGGTTCGTGTTTGGATGCCCTATCGACTCGATAACGTGTTGTCGGAATACAGCGCGTCCCTCCGGAACCTTATAGGTGATATACCCGAAAGCACGATCGCGTCGTGCTCTATGCCGCAGACTGTCTTAGATCGATTCCTCGAATGTCTGTTGGTTCTCGGCTCCTGCATGGATCGAATCTTCTAAACTCGTGTGATCACAGCGGCGAGCAAGTTTCCGAAACGCCTCGGTCTGCTGTTCAGCGAGCGAGAACACGATCCCAAGGGAAAACCTTCGCCAGCTCGCTGCTCAGGAGCGAACGACATTTAATGCCGAAAACTTTTCACGATCCTTTTGAGTAACTGCTCAATTTTCGCGCTCTAAAAAGCTTCAAGGCGAAACACGGTGGAAACGCTGGCAGAGGAAGAAAAAGGGGACGAAACGGAAGAATGGAGAAGTCTGACAAGGTTTCCGTTCAAAAATGTCAAAAATTCCATGTGACAGGCAGAGTAGATGGACTTTCGAATTCGCGGACTTTCTCGTACGCTTCCTTGTCGGTTAGTTCTACGTCAAGGCGCCCCTTTGTCCGGAGCAGTCGTCGTACCGTGGCTCGCTTGGTGGGCAAATTTATAACAGCGATGGAGATCCGGGGATTTTATTCCATCGGCTTTCCGCGGCGCGAATGACGCTGGAATTGCATTGCAGGTGGCAAGCCGTCACTCGGGACGCGTAACCAGTTTGCAATGGAGACCCATCTACGAAGGGAAACGTCTACTCTCGGCCGGTATCGACGGTGCGCTCAAACTTTGGAAAATCCGGGACAAGGTGACTAACCCGTCAAATGAGAAATCTTCGCGGCCAAGGCAGACTCTCTGTGGATCAGGGACGATTCAGGATCCCGTAATCCGAGCTCTGAGGCATTGACGTAAATCTCGAGGTTTAAATCTTGCTAAGACGTAACGATTTTCTCCCTCAATAACCAGAGTCTGAACGTTTCTGAGGAGTTTGTGGTGACGACCTGGGATGCTGATGCGAAACTCACATCGCGGGTGGAAGCTGCCGTCGGCGTGACTTGCACAAGTTTTTCTTGCTTCGATGACACGCAGTTCTCGATAGGTCAGTCTCGTCCCGCCTCCCGGCGTCCTACACATATTTGATTTCTTTCCAAGCGAATTCGATTTGAGCTTCCGCATATATAACATTTCCGGATCCCTCACCGAACCCACAGGCACGGAGGGAGGCTACGTTATGGTCGGATCGCTTACGGCCCCCCGAGCGGCTTTCGGCGCGGGGAAAAAGTGCGTTACGATGAGCTACAAACGACACCAAGGCCACGTGACGTCTACATATTTCGCTCCGCACTCCCGGAACGTTTTTCTCACTTCCTCCGTGGACATGGAAGCTCGTATTTATTCACAGCTGCAGCAGGCGCCGGTCATATCCATCGTTCACTCGGAGCAGCTGGTGAAAGCTGTGTGGTCGCCTATGGAGCAGCTACACATCGTGACTGCGACCTGCGCGGGTCTCGTGAACATCTACGATATACGCAAACCATATGTACCGCTTACTCTAATCAATTTGGAGAGTCGATTGACCGACATGGCATTTGTTTCGCACGAACAAATAGCCGTCGCGACGGAAAAAGGCCTCGTCCACCTGCTGCAACTGCCTGAATCCACCATGCGTACCGTGGGAACAGTAGCGGACCTCGACGAGCTTGTGCGGACGCTCCAGAATACAGTTGTTGATTTCGTTTGAACAACGTCATCACTTTTCTGAATCGAGATACTCGCCAAAATCGGAGGAAGAGCCGGAAGCAGGACTTGCGCCTGGACCGTGAGCCGTGAGGCCCCTGTGCACAAAAAAATTACTCTTCCTGTCGGATCGATCCTTTTTATTAGTAAATCCTCTCAGAAGGGATTTTTGTGGAGATTCCAATCCATTCCCCCGGGAAGCTCTGGATGTCTGGCACGTGTATGCTATTTCAAGAAAAAATGAGTCTTTGGTTCTCTGTATTCTCGATGAAATACACAACTATATTGAAGTATCTATTCTGTCGAGTATTGATCTCCATTTAGGTGTTGACTGAGTCCCGAACTCCTGTTTCGCTTCGTTTCCGTATCGTAAACAAGAGTTCACAGAAGAAACACATTGAGTCGGAGAGCGAATTGCCTCCGTAGGAGAGAATCAAGTCCAAGTCGAAAAACGAGTCTAATATCTCGCTCTTGAAATGATTAAGTAACACAAGATTTGACTAGGAATGTCGGTAATGGAACGCGAACTCAGAACCTCAGCGCGGATTTCGGTACCGCGACGCGCAGATGCTGCTTCCGATGCTCAACTCCCTGGATCGCACTGCGATACAGTTTTGCTCGAAACGAAAGCTCAAGAAGGTTTGAATTTTCCGCTCTCCTGAATCCGGCGCACAAGCTTCACGTGGCTGTCGAGACTCTCCGAACAATTCAAAATCTCCGTGAAGCATTTTTCGAGTTGAGTGAACCTGGAAAACGTAACACGCAATGAAGTTCCAATCGAAGAGAGAGGCATTCCTGACTTGCTCCGTTCGAAATCACTCCCTCGGAGCCGATTTCGAGGAGATTTTTTTCTGCATCAATCGGTATTCTGATCGTCGTAACCGTAGATCTCAAAGGAGCGTAGTCAATCTTCATCGGGAATGAGATATTGGTCAGAGAAATGCGGTAGGCTCCGCAAACTGTGATCAGGAGTCGTGGAATAGATCAATGAACTCACCTATGACCCTGGTAACAGCCCTGGTTTATGATATTCTCGATGAGCTGCAGATAATCTGCCCGTCGCTCATCCGTCGGCTGAGTGTCGGCCAATTGTCGGGCAATTATATCAATTAGTACGTGGAGGTCGTTCAGATAGAAGAGGTCGGCGGTTTTGTGCTCAGAAAATAAACAGATCAACATGTTCATCACAGAGTTTGTCGGTCGGGCGCTCAGTTCCGTGTGGTTCAGGATCTGTGGCGAGAGGAAAAAAACGTTCAACTGTAACTGACGCCAAAGCTTCGTGATCATTAGAGATTTCTTCTTACAATACCGACCTTGGTAGGATCGTCCTCCCTATTTATCAGCAGGAGTAACTTTTGCGTGAGGCACTGTAGAGGCTGTTCGGTCTTCAAGAGCTTTTCCATCACGAAATCACTCGCTGTCAAACTTATCGCGAGTAGGACACCCACGCACAGCTCGGCGAGCTCCTGGAAACAGGGAGCACGCATGAAAGGGGTTCACTCACAAACGGTGTCTTCTATTCTAGTGTTCCGGATCTTTCAGAACTCACTTGATCGTCGTCGACAGGTTTCTCAATCCGTTCCAAGAGGAAGTCGATGAACGTTTCGTTGACTTGGCCGTAGACATCGTTCGGTGGCTTTTCTCCGGTACAGAAAATCACCGTTAGGAGCAACAGAGAGTATTTGAATCGCTCAAGGTCGGGTTGTGTCTGGAGATCCCGAGCAAGTTCCATGGGAAGGATGGAGTGGAGAAGGACCGACACAACACAGTAGTCAAGTTCACAACACGTGAGGAATACCTGCAAGATCGAAGAGATCTTTCAGCGGAGATCTTTGTTCACAACCAGCTCGCAGGCGAAACCGCAAAACAACTCAACTTCGGCCTTCCGGGAAAACTGATATGCATTCCGCCATTCCATCAGATAATTATCGTGTCGAGTGCCTTCACTCCGGACTCCCATGCTCGAATGGAATAAAGAAGAGCAAGACGCCTTATCTATCGGTTTGAGGAGCCCTTATCCCTCCGACCTACCCGTAGCATCCAAACACGTAGTGAGTGCCTGGTTTCCATTTGATAATACGCCACCAGCGTGGTGATGTATTCGTAGTTCTCTGAAGCGAGAACTCTCGCGCAAGTTTTTGAGTCTATCTCCACGAGCATTGAGTATAGTTGCTCCAACATCGTGTTGATCGTGTTCTCGTCCTGATGCAGAGGCCAAGAGCGTTGCTGCTCATCATTTTTAGTGAGGTACAAGCCCTTGAACACTTCTGTGAGTCGCTCAAAGTCTGAGGTGGTACTCAGGGTCTCGATCTTCGACATCAAGGCCCGCCATAAATTGGATTGCAACTGAAATGAGCGAGTCAGTCGTATGATTCCCTTTCCTTGAGTTCGAGAAGCCCCACCGCGACCGCGGCACATGATGGCGGGCCCAGAAGCGAATCTCTTACCGTGCTCGGCATTGTTTCCGCCACCTTGTCCAAGACGATCCGGACAACGGTTTTCGACATCTGCGGACTGAGTTTCGTGGCGGCCTGAACTTGATCGACCATTTCTCTTGCCACTTGCTGGGGATCCCACAAATTCTCCGAGAGCCAGTCCGAGTTCAGACGGGACAGGGCCATTTTCTCGCGCAGACACCTGAGGAGCGGGTAAAAAATTGTCACCAAAAATACACTGAAATCCTGACCATAAGGAACGCCTCGGATAGGGAACTTTCCGTATGAGGAAGCCTAGACGGAAGTTTCCCTATGAGCGGGTTCCCTCCTACGGAGAGTTCTCTATGGGCAGAGTTCTCTATACGGAAAGTTCCCTATACGGTGACCATTCTCGCATTTTTCTGTTCTTTAACGGTCGGGATTTTAGGCTTATGGAAATTCATTCAATCGATCTGCACGGTTCGATTCTGCCGCTACCTCGACGGAAAGTGGGCTACGAACAATACAGAGGGCGCCCATCAGAGTGAACAGCTCGACATTCAGAATCACGACGTCCGGCGGGAGCGTAATCGACTGATAGCGGCTTTTGGTGTTGTCAGTACTGATTGGACCGATCAGAACCGGGGAAGAAAGTCCTATGACGCACCCAACCTGATTTCCATGCCCGTCGACCCATCACAGTAGCTCGCGCGACTTCTCAGATCCTGCATCGTACTGACCTGACGGCTTTCTTCTGGAATTCATTGTGGGTTTCTGAAGTCTTTTGTAAGGCGGATAAGGTCCTATCTGCCAACTGAGTGTCCAGCTCAGTAGATTTGAAGACGTAGTTCGAGGGCACGAACCCTGTGAGTCCGTCGGCGGTGATGGCATACAACCAATTCGGGTCCCTCGATAGCTTCTCGATGACAATCAAGCTCTGATCCTGCCGCAGATTCAGAAGTCTATCGTCCTTGGCTTCGTACTCGTAAAGGGCCAATGCTTGGCATACAGTCGACGCCATCCTGGAAAAAATTGGTCTAAGTTCCACCGTCAGATCTTGTCAGAACACATACGGGGAGCACATTTATGATTCTGTTGGGGCACTGCGCCCTCCAAGCGACCGACGACCGCTCTCACAGAAATCTATCGCTGATGGACTCTCGGGACGTCAGCCAGAGTCGGCTGGCGGTACGCGCGCGGTAGAGAGCGGCGGTGTCGGAACTGTCAGATTTCTTCGCTTTCTCTGTATAAGGGGCCTTACGAAATACAGATTACTTACCTCCTTTCCTGAGTTCGTGGAGTTTCTCGTGCCGAATGGCTCCGAGGACTCGCCCCTGGCCACGCAGTGTTATCGCGAGGATCAGCTGGATAAAGTCACGCTCGGTACGGAGAAGCGGCGCGATGTTGTGATTCACGAGACCTTTCCGCTCGAGCACGAAAACACTCGCTCCGGTATCGAATGAGGTTCACCGAAACCTCCTCCTCCTCTGTGTCTGACCAGTAGCACTGACAACCCTCCTCCGCCGTCTAGACATGGAACTCAGTTTCTACGCTAGAACGCTCAGTACGACGTACTCTTGTACGCTTGTACGTATGCTCGAGATAGCGCACAATTTTACGTATTTCAACTCTATGAGGAAAGCCAACATGAAGCACGCGGGGTGAAATTGCAGTAAAATGAAATCTGTCGATGAGAGAGTGTAGAAAATGATGGCGATGATCTTTGAGCAGAATCGGGCGGCTCAGTTGTCCTTTCTCTGATTCGAGTATGCGACCCACAGCCGGCAACGTCGGAGCGCGGTGTATCGCGCCCGAATCATCTTGGATCCGAGTGTAAGGAGGTACGCCGTGCAGAGCTTGCAGGCGTACAAAGCGAATTGAACACTTAGATCAAGCCAACGATGACTTGCTGAACAGAATCTCCGCGGCTGAGACCGACCGCGGAGACGGTTATTTTCCATTCGCCAGAATCCGCGTTTACCCTCGTTTCATATTCACTCATTTTATTATCATTTATTATTATATTATTATTTCAGTTGCAAGCATCGAGAGTTTCAGCTCAACTAATATTTTGTCGCATTCGTCATAGCAATCGAAGGAGTGTCCCCGGCCCCCGCAGGCAACCAGATGATTATCCGTTTTCTCATTCATGTTCAATCTGCTCCGGCCGGAGGGAGATCTCAGAAAGTGGAACCCCCCGCTGGGGGCCGTGGGTACTTCGCCAGTGCTTACGAGGGCAAACGTTCAGCAGCACCAGACCCCGTCACGTGGTCGAGCAAAATCTGGAGACGTCACCTGAGTCATGACTGCTAAGTTTTCCTCATGCGGCGGCGGTCACATTATTCCCGCTGGTGAATCATCGGTATCCATAGCATAGGTAGAATCATATGTCGGAGCGATTTAATGGTTGGTGGATGAATGGCCCAATTGCTCTCGATGATCGTCCATTTATTCATCCCTTCCGCCGAACGTCCGCTCCGACGAAAAATCGCCGCCACCGACTCGAGCCGAAGGTCATGCAAATGATCCCATGATTCCAAACGCAAAAAGTTTTTCACTCGAGTTCGCTCCTACATGTACAGTGCATTGAGAATCAGGAATTTCGGAGTTCTGAGCAAACGACCGCTGCGTATGATGTCGACAGGGCCGCAGAGAGAAATTCTGGGCCCGGGGGAAATTCGGACATGGGCCCCTCTGGATCATGGTCTGTGATCTGTCACTAGAGAATAGATGAAACGAATCGGTCAGAGCAGCAATTTCCTCTCCATGCATCTTTTTAGAAGGGGAAGAATTTAGGACGCAGACAAAATTATTTTACTAAAGCCTGAGCTAGGGGTCCTTCCGGGAAATCTGGGCCGGGGGTAAAAAGTCACCGATACCCCCCCCTCTCGTCGGACCTGGATGTCGGCAGCCGTCGGTCGATCGAAAATCGTTTCCTCTATTGAGCTCTATACTGCCGCGGAGTCCACAGAGCTTCCCCGGCGCGGAGGGAAGCAGCTTGCACGAATAGCTGTGATGGAACTCGAGGAGATTCAAATGAGGAATGGGCGTTATCTCTTCTCGACTTCTGCTGAACAAGTCCATAGAATTTGAATTAGGCCCCAACCTGTAGCAAGACCTCACCGCCCGTAAAGCTTATATCGATTTCATGGGTGGTCAATATTAATCTCACATCCTTATTGCCATTGCTCGTCGACCTTGTGAGCAACGCGGATATTTTTTTCTGATCGTAGCAGTCCTCGGTCACTGTTGTCCAGAAACCGCTCTCAGGAAGCTCGTGTATGGAACAATCTATAAGACTTGCCAGGCGTAAGATTGCGCGTACGTAGCGAGCATGTCTCTCGTTCGGGAACTTTCCTTTCTACGGGAGTTATCCTCCTTATCGGCGAGCATGCGGCCCCTTGCCGGCTACCGTCGGATGTCTCGGATCCACCGCGATCCGACATACCCGGCCATGCGCCGCATACTCGGATTCGAAACTGGAGGAAGGAACCGCCCGACTCCCTCAAACGCTGACCAAGGAGCATCGGCATCATTGTCAATATTCTCCATTCTTCCCACCACTTGCCCGCACGGTTGGGAGCGAAGAGACGCAGCAGACGACAGGCCTTTACTCCTCCGTGTTCAGGTCGCATCGCTCATGGAAACAATCATCGAATCCTGAGCTGTGTTTGTTGATGCCGGGGCCAACAGAAGAAAGCTAGAATATTCCGGGCTCGTCGAGGCTCATTGTGATTATCTCCACTCTGGCAAGCTCAGGAATTCTCGTCGAAGTCCATATTGGTGCCTCTGACGATGTCTTCCCCATCAGTCGATCTCAGTGCATACCGTGATCAGCATTTCAAGGTAGGTTCCCCCGAAGTATCCGAAGCCGGTGGCCAAACTGCGAGCTTCAGCTGGCCGTCAAGGCTTGAAGGTGCGATCTCTTAGGATTCCGGCCCTATCATGACTTGATTGACCACGATATAGAGTTTCTTAGCTGGATCCTACTATTGCTTCGAATTATTTGTCCACGATTCCTGATCAAGCTCCTCTTTTGCAGGGCTCAAGAGCGGAACAAGAGAGACTTCTGCGAACGAGCACCACATTGTACGTGGGAAATCTGTCGTTTTACACAACGGAGGAACAGATTTTCGAGCTGTTCGACAGGTATGGTATCTGACCTACTCCAATCTGACGGAAGTCCCGCATCGTCCCGGGGGCTGCGCTCATCGATCGCTACATTCGTTACCCTTCGTATAATATAGTAACAATAACTGATCACATCCTTGACGTGAGAATTCGGATATTGTAGTGGAATTCGGTTCCGAGGCTGTCTCGCTTAGGTCGGATTCGCTGTCGGGCTGGGAGCGAACGGTTTTGCGAAATATAGAAATTCGATTGCTTCCAGGTGTGGGGATGTGAAGCGCGTCATTATGGGACTCGACCGCTTTCAGAAAACCCCGTGCGGTTTCTGTTTCGTAGAGTACTACGATCGCGCTGACGCCGAAAACGCGATGTGTTGGGTTAACGGAACGAAACTCGACGATCGTATCATAAGAACCGACTGGGACGCCGGTTTCATTGAAGGCCGGCAATACGGACGAGGAAAGTCGGGAGGACAAGTTCGGGACGAATACAGGAACGATTTCGATAGTGGACGAGGGGGTTACGGAAAATTACTGCAACAAAAGGTTGAAGCCAATGTCTAACAAACCGAAGATCAGGTGCCGAATCAAGGCGACATCTCGAGAAACTTGTAAATAAAACTCCACAGCTGTGTATGAGTGTAACAATAATGATAATAAACGTGGAGTTGACCGCAAAGAAACGGTCAGATACGATGACTACGCCTATTCGCTCATCAGCGGGGAGAGCCCAAGATCAAGGCTATCGTCAATCCGATGATCGGCGCCAAGATCGAGAGTATTGAATTTCCATCTTAGTTCGCCCTCGGAAATCCACCAGGCGATTCCCAGAATTGTGATTTTGGACGACACGTTCTCTCTTGTTTGCTTCGTCCGATTCTCGGAGTCATCCAGACAAAAAGTTAGATTTTCCGATTTCTTAGGGAATAGCGCTGACTGCAACAGCGAACCGAATTACCGCGCTATTTCCAGGCACCGAGGTCTCGACGCCGCGAGGATGAGCCGAGGCTTGGATCGGGAATATTCTCTTCGGCGAATCGTCTCTGAACTCGTCTCTGAATCGTATCCGTAATTCGGAGTTCACCCAAGTGTTGCTCGTCGGGGAAATACTTATAGAGTTGAATTTTTTCCTCGGCACCGATGTCCGTTCCCGAAGTCCGCTATTCGTTCTGACGTTCGCGCGGAAAAAATGTTCCTATGTAGATTTCAGCATCCTTACGATTCGGTGTATCTGTGCGGTACCTTCCCCAGCCTGCCGCTCGGGGGACTCCTCGAGAGGACTCGCGACCGCGTAGTTCCAGAGTTGAACTTCACTACATAGTTAAAATGTGAATACTCTGAGACGGTTCAGCGAAATGCGAGATCAGAAAGGCCTCCGACCAGGAAATGGAAAAGCCCTGCCAAAGTGGCGTGCTCTCTAAAGGCGAAGTCCGAATGCTTGAACGATCGGTTATACGCTAAACCTTCCGCCCGTCTCAACGTCAGGCTCTGACCGACAGCATTCGCGAGGCCAGATTCGACTCTCGGGCCGCGCTCTCTCGGTACAGATCTGCTGCTAGGCTTCTGGGACACCATTGAGATCGGGAGCTGAACACAGGAGAGATAGAAGTTCCAGAAGGAGTGCCAACAAGGTGCCACCATTCAGGGGCAACTCCACTACCCCATCGCCGTGCGAACAAGCCACCTAATCAAACGCGCAGGCGCTAAACCATTGGTGGTGAACGATGTCTTGGAAATGAATTCGACCACGAAAATCTAGCCAAACCTCAAGAACATACATCGGAGGCATTTCAGTTCCTTCACTAATAAGAATCGCTAATTCTCTCCGGACTCTCCCATGAGCCATGGTGATAAGGATGATCCATTTATTCATTTTCTCTCGTATTCATTTCACAATCGTACTTCCAACCACCTTCGCCGAAGGAGAATCCGGACTCGGACGGCTCGCGTTCCCGGAGCCACGGCTCGGAGTCAGCTCCGGCGGGCGGCAAACTCGCCGTTTATTTACTATGTACATACGATTCCGTCATCGAAAGTCGTTAATCGGTTGGCAATTGTGTCAGAACCTCAGAGTTTGACGTTTGTGAGGATCCTCTGCAGCGAAGAATCTGAAATTTTCCCGAAGCCAACACCGAGCGCGTCGATAGCGAGAGCCCGAAATGCCGAGGAAGCGTGTCTATGATTATTATTATTATTGCAGTTGAGCTGGCAGCTCGTTGAAGATTTGGTAGTGGTGCTCATCGTCGCCCATGTCAAAAACTGGATCCAGATCACAGCCAAATGCCTACAAAAATCAATTTCTTCGATCAGAATCCTATTTGTAGAACCTTCCCTTTCTCCGTTTGAAGAGAGAACAGAAGCTGAAAGATGAAGCTAATTTCCAGGGAAACCATGGCGGATCACTAATTTTCTCTACTCCCTCCCCCTCCTTAATAAATATCGGATGTCTCCCGACTATACAGCTCTCTCTAGATATCTACAAAAAGAGACGCCTCGATGAGGTGAGCTAAAATGTATGACACGCGGCTTTTAAATGTGTAACCTTCTTTTCAGTTAGTGCAGACGCGCCGAACATCCGTGTCCTTGGGTGCGACGTGCGGTCTACCACGGATGAAAGTATAACGGTAGCGGTAGCATTCCTTCACCAGAGCGATGGACGCTCCGCCGCCGGGATTTTCCGTCGAAGCGGAAGCGAAAGCGATATGTGCGGACGTTCTTGTTTGGCGCCAAGCTTCGTGTGACGTGAAACTCTTGCTATTCTCGAACAGCCATGTCGTACATAGTACAAGTCTTCATCTACATCCGGTGGCTTGGCTGAAGCTCCCGCAGAATATTTCTTCCCGCTGAGTGAGACTAAGTCGAAGAAGAGGAGTGCGCGGACTCTCCGTCGTCATCTGCCAAACTCCCCGAACGATGATTCAGCGGCTGATTGCAATCCCGATTGCGTCCCGATAGCCAAAAGCGTGAGAGCGAATGATCTCGAAAGCCCTCGATATGCGGTCATGCGGGGTGGCTGTAGTTGGCTCAGAGAAGTCACCTCACGGCTCAGCGGACTCGCAACTATCGAATGGGAATTAATCAGAGACCCGAGTACTTCGGCACTTACATTTCGCTTTGATCGAAAGGAGCGCTCAGACGAAACAGGAAATTTTGGTCTGGTCGGTACAAAATCTTAACGACTACGACCACGATAACAACAGGTATCGGTCGCGAAGGGCTTCAGTTTTGCCCTTGCAGGGGAGAGTCGCTGCCCTTTGCCAGTTCCGTCGCTTGCCACATATTCCACTTCACTGTTCCCAGTACTGTCTTGGAATTGGCACTTTCGCTCCGAAAGAAGCTGCGGTTTCAAAGCCTGCGATACGGAATACGTCGCGTCTACAGCGTTCCATTCCGCACAGCCGTTGCGAATTTAATTTTCACGAGATCCGGGTCCACAGAAGATCTTGAACGATGAGATTATCTCAAGAACCCACGGTCGACCACATGAAAAGATCATTTTAGAGTCTGCACCGGCTTGTTCCAAAGCCATCGTTGATGATGGACTCTGCACACCTTCGAGACTCTGCGGAAGGGAAATTCTTCCCGCCTCTCGTGTAGACCCATCTTGTCCACAAAAGCTCGGAGTTCATATAAGACTAATGAGTTGGAGTTCTTCGATGCTTGGTCCCGATTTCGACCTCGTGCATTCACTCCCCGGAATCCGTCGACAGATTCGATGCCTGCGCGGAAACGTCCGGAACTTATCCTCCGTGGTCGGGCTCAGGAAAATCGTTGGGGCTTTGGCATGTGGTTTTTGCTCTCGGAGCGAGATACAGGGCATCGGTACGCGGTCGCCTCCGCTGCCCTGGTTGTAGCGCGGATCCTCCTCGAGCGTATAGCTGTAAAAGACACTGCGGAACGTCCGCAACACCGTTTAGAAGAGCGGACGGGGACGTGAAACGGGTGTACGCCGGATCAGCTTCCAGGGGCGTCTGCCTCCCTAGTCTAAGCGAGTTGTCACCAGGTATGGCCGTTCGAAGCTTCCGCCGCGAGGCGACAGTCGACGAAGGAGTGATTGATTAGGCGTACGCCCCGCGCGTGCTCCTACAGCGGTTAACTTTATTGAATGATCCTGATGTTTTCCCTTTCGTACAATGATTTTTCCGGCCCTCGTCGACCTGCGAAACCCGAGACTACGGCGGAGCCCTAGGGTAGAGGCCAAACCGGGGTGCCCGCCTCTGATTGCTTCGGAATCATTTCGATCTGCCGTCTTCCGGTTGCCCGGTGGCGCCGGGGCTCTCGTGACAAGCACTGACGAGCTGTCTCTATCACACGAGAGAACTATGGACATTAATCGGGAAATATCATTCTCCGAGCCGGATCAGACGGCCAGGGATCGACAATCAGTGGGTTAAAAGACCTTCACGCTTAAATCTCAATGAATGCAGACGGTAGAAATCAGTGGGTTCCGTGATTCCGAAGGATTCACTGCCATCAATCGAGGCGAAATCCGAGGCAGACTCCAGGGCTCTGGGAGAATGGAGAATCGGTGGGTGCCGACCAACAGAACTCGCTTGTCATCTACGGTAACCGAATCTGAGCTGCCGGACAGCTTGCCCCGGAATCCTCGCTCGACTGTGGGGATGAAGTCGTCGACCCGCTGTCACTCAAAGGTATCCCGGCTAATCTCTGCCTTCAAGACTTGAGCACCGTCATGAAGATTGGTAGTTTTGGTAGGCGGAATCTGAAGAGCTCCAAGGAATCGGTGATGGATACGATCTTGCATGACAGAACTCCTGATTCTGACAAGAGAGTCTGGCGCTCCAGACAGGCAATCACCGAGGATCAGGAAATGTTGGTCTCTCCGAGCAGAGATCATCGTCGTCAGCGTCCAGCAAGTTCGAGTCGTCTGCTAGTGCTGATGACCGAACTTCAAAACAGGACACTTATCCGCGGCCTGCGGCCTGTTTCATAGCTATCTTCTACGTTAGGAGGAGCGTATGCTCGGGAAAAATCGTGTCTTCACTCCAGAGGGTCGCTGACAATCCATTCCTGTAGGATTGGAGTGAGGTGGGCACCCTCGCTGATTGTTATTGTCGTTCTCTAGTCCTTGATGCCATCACGGCAGCTTTGCATACGGGAACATCTGACCTGATGCTGCTTCAATGATTCGACCGAGAGTTCGAGAGTAGTGAACTCTCGCTCGGGGCTAGAGAATCGAAGTTCAGCCTCGGAGTCCTCGGAGGCAGAGAGATGGCGGTTGACGTCGCGCATTTTGCGGAAGGCTGGATGGAGCTCGAGAGTGATCCAGGTTGGTGAATGAAAAACTTACTGAGGACAGAATTCCTCCGGGAGTGTCTTTGCTGTTCTCCATCAGAATAATTCTCAAGAGATTTCCGCATGGCAAGCCAACGTGTGCTGGGGACACCTTGTCGGCATCCGATCCGCTCCCGGCAGTGGGCTGAGCGCTGGGACCAGATGACGCCGGAGCTGAATATCTGTCGTGTTTATTCCAGGAGTGTTCACGCTTCTCCTCGAGGATTTCGGAGCAGAAGGGGTTCAAGTGGAGGAGATATACGATCTGGACCGTCCAATAGATTCCCCTACAGTTTACGGTTACATTTTCCTCTTCAAGTGGATGGAGGAACGTCGTGCGAGGCGTAAATTCGACTCGGATGGTGAATCGAAGCTCGTCACCGATGAAAACATAGTGAACAACATGTTTTTCGCGCATCAAATAGTTCCCAACTCGTGTGCAACGCATTCCCTACTCAGCATCCTGTTGAATTGTCGCCGAGTGTATCTGGGACCAGCTCTGAGTCGACTAAAATGTGTCACGTTAGGAATGTCACCAGAGAACAAAGGCTACGCCATAGGGAACTCCGCCGAGCTCGCCCGGGCTCACAACTGTCACGCGAAACCTGTCCACGGACCGATTTCGGCTTCCACTCAGAACGCCGGCACGAACATCGGCGGGCGTGCTTCGACGCTCGAAGCGTTCCACTTCGTCTCCTTCGTACCCATCAAGGGGAGACTGTACGAACTGGACGGTCTCAAGAAATATCCAATCGATCACGGACCGTACGAAGAGGACTGGACCAAAAAGTTCCACCAAGTCATCACCGATCGCATTGGGGCTTGCAAAGCCGAATTCCGTTTCAACTTGATGGCCTTGGTGCCGGACAAGCGTATGGCCCTCTCTCAACGCTTGGACGAACTCCTGAGCGATAGAAAAAACGTGGCCGGCGTCATAAGTTCGGTGACGAACTTCAAACTGAAGTCCCGCGCCAACCACATCGACAACCACAACTATGCGAAAGACGCGGATCTCGAACTGCTCGCTGAATTCATCACGGAAGGCCAACAGATACAACCGAAGTACGAACTCTGTTCCGGGAGCGAATATTCGGACGAGGACGACAAGAAAGACATGGAGTTCGCCGACACCGTTCTGTCTCCGAGATCGCTTCGCTGCGAGCGACGGAGCGCCAGTCGTTCCAACCCGAGCAATTGTAGGAAGCGGCGTTCGGACTTCGAAGTCGGTGATCTGAAAGAACGAACGCAGAAAGTTCTGAACCTCACACCGGAAACCTACGACGATGTTCCGGCCATTGATCTCCTGGCAGTGCTCAGAGACATCGACCGCGACATAAATTCCGTCGAGACAATGATCACGGACGAGGAAGATCGGAGAGCCAAGTACATGATCGACGATAATCGACGGACCCACGATTACGACGCTTTCATTTGTACATTCTTGACAATGCTGGCCGAACAGGGTCAACTCACGGGACTCCTCGAAGAGCAGCTGAAACGAAAAGGCGTATTCCTGAAGAGCATGTCGCGGGAGGAAACGAATTCGCGGTCGAAGAAACGCGTGACCAGCAGTAGCGGCAGTAGCACTTCAGCCAATTGCAGCAATAACGGCGGCAAAACTCAAACGTCAAACTGTCACAGCGGCAGCAGTAGCAGTGGTAGCAGCAGCAATAATTTCGTCCCGCAGAATCAGAAAAAACAGCCGAAGTCTGCGCAGAAATGAATCTGTGCTCGCATTAGGTGATTGATGAACCCGTCCCTTGAGCTGCTCGTCAGACGCCTCTCAGTCAGTCAGTCATTGTCCCAAAGCGCCTCTCTCGACCGACTACACGGAGTTTGCGCTGTTATCGCTGCAAGTGCAGAAAGAGAACCTCGGAGCTCACCCTGAATTCACGATGTTGCTCTATTTTTGACTGTTATCGATTCAGGACTCGATAGTCCTGAAAGCCTTGCTCACGGAAGTCTCTGCGCACTTTCAAGAGAAACTTTCCCTTCCGACATTGAGCCCCGATGAAAGCTTTAACTAAAGACATTTATCGTCGTACTCGAGCTTACCTGACCCATGTATTGTACATTGAAATGTCGTATCCATAGGAGTTGAGACCGAGCCGATTTCCATGACTCGGTACGCGTCTCTTATCGTCAGCAACAGGGAGGGCATTCAGGAAAATCCGAGCTTCGCACCCAGGAGGATGGAAGAAGCTCTTCAGAGCTCGCTGAAGGGAACGGATAACATCCGCGACTTTTCCGCCCGGGACTTGGTCCTCGAACGATCGAGCTTCCATTGGATTCCGAATCTTCGCCGTAGCCCAGGATGGCTCTTTCTTGTGGGAACGTGATCTCCATACGATGCAGAAAAACAGAGCATCCGATTGGATGATGACATGAGTCGCTAGGGCAGCTGTTGACTCGTGCGGCCGTCCTCCAGGAAGCTATATCCCGCTCGCGGCTAAATGTGGATGTATAAATCCTGTTCAAACGTACAATAACTCTGAATAAATCGCTCAGAGGGGAGGATGTACATGTAAGGAATCGTTGGGTTTTTGTTCGGATCAGCGCTCGAGATAGTTCTCTGTGCAGACATTCAATGATGCCCGCGTATGCTTCGTTAAGAATTTGCCGAAGGAGGCAAAGTGCCATCTCGACCAAACAGAATCTGAACTCATGATCGCTCTTAGCGGATGGTCGAATCTCATGTTAGAGTACTTAAGGGGGTCAATGCAAGCGCGTCAATTTCTTCTCTGGTGGAATGCCCAATCCGATACTTTTCCGATCGATTTCGGGAGTCGTAGAATCGAGCGGATGACCCCGCAAAGTCGCATCCGTAATGCGAAACCCTCAAAGAGTCATGCAGGATTTCCGCCCACAACTTCTTCAGCTGTTCCACGGACCGTCCTTCCTCGGCGGAATTCGAGGGTCCGTGGTGTGGGGTCATACATCGGGCAGCCTCCACCGGACGAATCATTTCCGGCATCGAGTCGAGAAGAATGTGAACGATGAGGTTTATGAATGGAGAGTGGCACTCCACTTCCGTAATCCGTAAGCTCTGGGATTCCGCGCGGTGACGTCCCGCACTGGGCAGTGCCAGTATTCTCACGAGGCATGCAGGCCGCTTTGGCCGCTCGGATATTCGGGGCTAGAGCCAGATGGTCGATGACGGAGCCTCGGCGAGCAAGCAGAAAAATCTTGATTGCCCTTGAAAAAGCTAAAAGAAGACGAATCCCCCCAAGAAATAATGCGATGTTCTCGAGCCAGACTCGAGATCGGTGGCATTCAGCCGGAGCCCATCGATATGTATTTTCCTTCCTGAGAGTAGAGCTGTGCCGGTTCCTCGGAATTCGATAGGGATTCTCCGCTTACCGCGTTCTCTTGAACCACGACTCACGACCGGTACCGACTTGCTTCTGTGCGCGGCTCTTTTTCGAGAAACTTCTAGCTCTTCGATTTATTCCGTGGGCTCTGGACTCGGGAGTCCCGATCATGCTGGTCATAACTCCAGGCGAATATCCTCAAGGAGAAGTAGCGGTACGGCATCAAATCCTGGGGTACCTACGCGAGCGGCGAGGTTGGCTCCACGAGCCGATGAAAAAGGCCGTTGGGAGCGCAGTTGTGTCAGCCGGTCGAGATGACTCACTCTCCCACTCGTTCAAGCGAGCTGATCTGAACAGACCCCGCTTGACGCCGAATGGCAAGACTTCATCCCGCCGGAGGATGGACGCGGCGCGATGAGAACTTTAGGCTCGGCTTCGATCGATGATTTTTTTTCTTTCAATAAAGTGAGCATGGCTCAATACCCGAGATGTACAAACAGTTCGTCGTTGGTGAAAGCCGAAAGCCGAGCATCGAGTTGCGGTCTTAAGGCGATCAGTGATGTCCCTGCGCCGATCAGACGCCATTGGAAGCAACTCCGAGCAGAGACCGTGAATTTTGTCAAATCCTTCGCCTGGAATTTTTAGTCCGGCTGATCTAGATGGGACATGGGTACTTCTGGCATCCGATCTCGCGATACCATGTCCATTCCGGCCCCCTCCGACGGGGAAAGCACGCGGGCGATGGATATGCAATTTTTTCTTAGCCCTCAGGTTCTTTCCGACTGGCTCCTCGGAATTCACAACGAGCTCCGTCTGAGGTCGATTAGAGAGACCGCGACAGCGAGACGGTGTAGACGGAATGACAGTGCGCGAAGGACGGGACCACTCAGAGACGATGCTTTCGGCTCTTTTTTTTTCTTGTCAGAAACGCCGGAAAATGTGAGCCGGACCGAGGGAGAGCAGGAATGGAATGCGAGGATAATTTATTGTGGTTGGCTCTCACACGGGCCTCCGATCGAGATTTGGAAATTTCGCGAAACTCCCAGTCCATGTGTGAGTGTTTACGCCGGTCGGCCATCGGCTCTCCTTCGAAACACGAATCACGACAGAGCTCCAATTTCTTTTTTCGAGCAATCCGGACCCAAGATTTTCTCAGAGATCCCCTCTCGGGTAGAGCGAGAACTCTTGTCAGAGCTCGGAGCGCTGTCTCCGAGGCATTTACCGTAAAACTCGGAGACCCAGTAATAATTTTCGAAATAGTCCGTCGTACCCGGCGGAAGCAGTGGAAGCTTCCGGCGAACCGATCGAGAACTCTCTCGAAACTTGTAGAACATCGGTCGCTTCACATCCTTAGCCTCCTTACCACTCTCGCCACGCCGAAAACAAGATCCTTTTTTTTTGCCTGGCAACATATCTATAAGGAGTTCCTGACCTGAAAAGGGACGTCCTCGATCACGGTTCATCGGGCGAAAGTTCTTTCCGCCCTTCGATTCCCGCGATAAAACGGATTAAGTCATAGAAAGCCCGCGAATTTCGAGGGTGAGCTCTAACCCGGCATATAAAACGAGCGGCGGATGCGCGGAAGCCTCACTCCTGATCGTGGGTGCGAACAAAGTGCTGGTGAAGCTACCGAAGCCTGTCTTTGAACAATCTGCGTTTTCTGCCGAGTTAAGCTCATCAAATCAAGGTACGTAGTTAGCGGATCATGCGATACAAGCGCGATTTCACTTCGGGAGTGCGGAAGGACCGTTCATTTCACTTCGATCGTAAGCGTGGTCGACGTGTGATCGGCGAGGAGCCGGTGCTGGAGCCCTGCTGGTGGATAGGCTGAGCCTCGAATATTCCTGACGTCGTCATGCGGTGCATATAGAATTGTGAATGCCCGGGTTTGAGTTCATGTGGTTTTCATGATGACTCCTCGTCGGCAACGAAGTTCCGGAGACCGGTCGATACCAAAACGGGATGGCGACGGTTTCCCCGAGTCATGCATGCGCGCACCTTGACGCGTGCCGCGTTCTTGCGCAGAAGACCGTGATCTCTGCGAGAACGCGAGGGCTAGGACCCCGCCCCGACCTCTCCGCATCGATCGGTATTTCCCCTCGTTGGACCCCGGCCGTGCTCGCGCGTCGTCGGCTTCCCCTCATGGAAATTGATGCCTAACCTCTGTCTTTCTCTTCTTTTTCCCCAGATGCCTGAAGAAACCCAGGATGTCGAGACCTTCGCCTTCCAGGCTGAGATCGCTCAGTTGATGTCATTGATCATCAACACTTTCTACTCGAACAAAGAAATCTTCCTCCGTGAGCTGATCTCGAACGCATCCGATGCGTTGGACAAGATTCGCTACGAATCGCTCACCGATCCGTCGAAACTCGAAGCTCAGAAGGATCTGAGCATCAGGATCATTCCCGACACCGAGAACAAGACGCTCACCTTGATCGATACCGGTATCGGCATGACCAAGGCAGATCTCATTAACAACCTTGGTACGATCGCCAAGTCCGGTACGAAAGCTTTCATGGAGGCGCTCCAGGCTGGAGCCGACATCTCCATGATCGGTCAGTTCGGTGTGGGTTTCTACTCCGCGTACCTCGTCGCCGACCGTGTCACCGTGACGTCGAAGCACAACGACGACGAGCAGTACACCTGGGAATCGTCCGCCGGAGGTTCGTTCACCATCCGAGTCGACAACTCCGAGCCTCTCGGTCGTGGAACGAAGATCGTTCTCCACCTGAAGGAGGACCAGAACGAGTACTGCGACGAGCGCAAGATCAAGGAAGTCATCAAGAAGCACTCCCAGTTCATCGGTTACCCCATCAAGCTCCTTGTTCAGAAGGAACGCGAAAAGGAGGTCTCTGATGATGAAGCCGATGAGGCCGACGACAAGAAGGAGAAGAAGGAGGGTGACATCGAGGACGTCGGCGAGGATGAGGACGCTGACAAGGAAGGCGGTGACAAGAAAAAGAAGAAGAAAACCATCAAGGAGAAATACACCGAGGACGAAGAGCTCAACAAGACCAAACCGATCTGGATGCGCAACCCCGATGAGATCTCCGAAGAGGAATACGGAGAGTTCTACAAGTCGCTCACCAACGACTGGGAAGACCATTTGGCCGTGAGACACTTCTCCGTCGAGGGTCAACTCGAGTTCCGCGCTCTGCTCTTCATCCCGAAGAGAGCGCCTTTCGACTTGTTCGAGAACAAGAAGCAGAAGAACAACATCAAGCTGTACGTCCGACGAGTGTTCATCATGGACAACTGCGAGGATTTGATTCCCGACTACCTGAACTTCATTCGGGGCGTCGTCGATTCCGAAGATCTCCCGTTGAACATTTCCCGTGAAATGCTCCAGCAAAACAAGATCCTCAAGGTCATCCGCAAGAACCTCGTCAAAAAATGCATCGAAATGTTCGAGACCGTCGCCGAGAAGAAAGATCTGTACAAGAAGTTCTACGAGCAGTTCTCGAAGAACATCAAGCTCGGTATCCACGAGGATTCCCAGAACCGCAAGAAGTTGGCCGATCTCCTTAGGTACTACACTTCCGCCTCGGGCGACGAGACCTGCTCCATCAAGGACTACGTCGGTCGCATGAAGGACAACCAGAAGCACATCTACTTCATCACCGGCGAGTCCCGCGAAGCTGTCGCCAACTCCGCCTTCGTCGAGCGTGTCAAGAAACGTGGCTTCGAGGTCATCTACATGATCGAGCCAATCGATGAGTACTGCATCCAGCAGCTCAAGGAGTACGACGGCAAACAACTGGTGTCGGTCACCAAGGAAGGCCTCGAACTCCCTGAGGATGAGGACGAGAAGAAGAAGTTCGAGGAAGACAAGAAAAAGTACGAGAACCTCTGCAAAATCATGAAGGACATCCTCGACAAGAAGGTTGAAAAGGTCATCGTTTCGAATCGTCTCGTGAGCTCCCCTTGCTGTATCGTTACCTCTCAATACGGTTGGTCGGCGAACATGGAACGCATTATGAAGGCCCAGGCCCTCCGCGACTCATCGACCATGGGTTACATGGCCGCCAAGAAACACCTCGAGATCAATCCGGATCACCCGATCGTCGATCAGCTCCGAGCAAAGGCCGAAGTTGACAAGAACGACAAATCTGTGAAGGATCTTGTCCATCTCTTGTTCGAGACTTCCCTGCTGTGCTCGGGCTTCAATCTCGAAGAGCCCGGACAGCACGCTGGCCGAATTTACCGAATGATTAAGCTCGGACTCGGAATCGACGATGACGGCAGTGACTCCGTCGAGATGACCGAAGACGTCCCGCCCCCTCTCGAAGGCGCCGCTGAAGACGCCGCTCGCATGGAAGAAGTAGATTAAACAACTCGAGGAAAGACCGACAAACATCGAGCATTGATCATGACCAGCGATCATTCCTATGTAAATAAAATCTCATTTATCCATCGCGAATTTCGAAGCCTTCTGTTTCTGTAAAGTCACAAAGTCGATTGGTCGTCGTGAAATGAGTATTAGAACGAAGCTCCAAAGAAATTTGTTACGATAATTGATATAATAGTCAGAATAAAGGAGATTGAAGTCCAAGCTGTCTGTTCTCGACCAGATACGATATGAGAACCTTTGAGGCCCCATCTGACGTTTCTCACCTCGGGGTAGGTTGCTTCTCCTCATCCTTCTACGACGGAGCTCCAAGAATTTCGAAGTTCGCGAAGCTTACCTTAGCCCGGGCCTCTCGCATATTTTGAGTTTTCCTGGAGACTCGGTGGATTGGAATCTGTGTGAGTGACTATTACCGCCCGCAATTCAGCATATCCTCATTAGCAATCGAGTCCGAGCGTCGGACTCCTTCTGTATCTGGCAGGTCATCAGTCCGCTCGGGCTTTGAGTCCTGATTGAAATATTCCTTGGAGTTCAGCGTTGAGTGGAAAGAGCTCTAAAGACGGATTTCGGGAGATTCCCGGTGTAGAACCAGAACGTCGGCGACGCTCATGCTAAGCATGCGATTGACGGAACGAGGCTGCATGATTGCCTGGCTGTGGGGGATTTCATCCCGAGTGAGAGGAGAGTCTAGTCAAAATAACCATGAATAATCAGTCTGCTGTCAGCAACCATCCTTATTTTTTGTCGGCTTCCGTCGCGTACACTCCGTACACGTTTAGATACAGCCCGTGCTTTCTCTCGTCACATCGGCTGCTTCGACCGCGGTGTTCATGGATACAAGTCAATTCGTGAGAAATGATGAGAGAATCTCGACGCAAGTAGCACCAAAACACTGCAGCCACCGCTGGCTGGATCTTCGGCGAGCCGAGAAGGCGTCAGGCGAAGGAGACTTGCAGCTGGTTCACAGACTCGCGGCTTTCCAGGGCCCTCCGTCATGTGCTCCTCCCGGTCGATGAGTCAGTTTTGGCTTGAGATGCAGTTAGATTGGTAACTTGGTTATGATGTCGTTCATTGTTTTCCAATTCGAAGCCGCAAGGCAGGAGTTCATTGCTCAGAAGTCTCCTCATTTCCTCCAGGGCTCAATGACTCATCCTGGGCTGGCCGCTTTGATGGGGGGGTCCTCATGGTGTTATAGACATTGCGGAAACAGGGCCATCGAGTCGAAAGACTCCCGACTCGGAAGTCTGAGCACTTCACTTCACATCACAAACTCTGCTTGGGACCCTCATCAGCTGAGCGGGAGCTTGGTTGCGAAATCTGGTCGCAGCCGAATTACAGCCGAACCGACTTGGTCTTCGTATCAGAAGATGTTTCTTCTGCTACTCCTGAAGGAGATTGTTTTCGCATCATCGAGGGCCTCATACCCTTGCCTTGTTTCAGGATCAGCGAGGTCACGAAAGCGGTCGCCGAAAGGACTGCGAGCGCAAAAATGACGTAAACGAACGCGATGGGTCTGTCGTCGATGAAGGGGCCGACCAGTACAGGGGGCAGCATCGCCCCTATGCAAACGCACATCATGATCATCGCTGAATGGCTCTGACTCAAATGAACGTACTGCTGCAGATGAGTGAACGACGAGGGAAAAAGCGGGGAAGCCCCGAAACCCAGGACCGCGGTACAGATCCAAATCACTTCTGTAGCTGACTCCACGAAGAGGCACATGGCACCGGCCGGAAGAAGCACAAGTGCATGAGAAACGACCAACATACTATGAGGACTCATTTTGAATGAGGCGATCGTTGCAACGACACGACTCGCCGTGAAGAAGGTCCAAAAAACAGCCGATAGGTAGACGCTGTTAGATTTGCTGAAGCCGAGGTGCTGGACGACGAACAGCGCGAGCATAGAAACGTAAGTCTGTTCCAGACTCACGTTCGCGAGAGCGTAGAAGCAAAAGTTCGCAATCATCAGCTGTTGCAACCGTCGAGAGCAACAGGAGTCGTTGGCCTCGGCGTCGCTGACACCGATATTCGACCTGTCCATCACAAAAGAAGCGATGAATAGAATCGCAGCGACGGCGAAGACTCCTCCGACCATCAGATAGGGTATGAAGACTCTCGTTACTTCCGCCGGAAGTGGGATTCCAGTCTCTGGAGGCTCGGCCATCGAGACATTCACTCTGTAATGGGGAGAGCCCTGATCGTTGAGAATTTCGAAAATCCGCCACTTATTATCGTTAAATCGAATCAATCGGGAGTTGAAGACGCTTACGGGATTTCGACTGCTTTTAGGAATGGGGCCGCCAGCAGAGGCGAAGCGACTCCCCCGAATCCGGAGCAGAAATTGAGGAGCTGGAAAATCGGTCCACTCTTCTCCTTCCATATTGCGAAGATCCAGAAGTTCAAGCCCGCCTCGACGAGTCCAATGCCGCCTCCGACGAGGAAAGTGCAGATGTGGCAGGCGGTCAGGCTTCCCAGTAAAGGCGTTGCTCCCTCTCCGATCGCCAGCACTATCAGGGAAAGGATCATCACCTGCTGCATGTTGAAAAACCGGAAAACTGTACCGGCTGAAATGGAATTTCGCATCAGAGGAACTCTTCAAGACCAATCACATAATCGTTTAGCTGCGTTCCCAGAAATAGAGTAACGGAAGGAGCGAACTGGATGCCTCTAGTTAGGAACATACCTAGAAGACATAGCAAGATGGAGCCCAACCCTCGAGTCGTGATGATGAAGGAAACAGTCGTTGAGGTCGTGGAATATCCCTCGCCAAGATCGATGAGCGTCGCTCCAGTCATGCCGTATATGCATCCCTAGGAAAATTTTGAGGATTTCAGCATTGTGGTCCCCATCGGTCCGAGGTGGGTCTAAACTGTCCATCGCTTCCCGAGAGGGCGATCGTCCGGAGCTTGGATGAGGATTCTCCCTCTGTGCAGTTGGCTCGAAAAATTGGAAATTCCAGTCTAAATATAAAATCCTGACACTTTTGACTCACCAAACCGAAGACCAGCAGATGGAGATTCACAGTTTGGAGAATTGCCACCTTGGTGGGACTCGCCTGAGATCTGCGCATCTCTATCTACAGAGCGCGGTTCACACAGGTTCAATCGTCACGCAGGGCTCTCCACGAGGAGGTCCGTGACTTCGCATCCAATGGACCAAAAATTTAGTCGCGACAGAAAAAACCCTCACCAGTGCTGTAAATCTTCAATAGGGATCGCAACGTTACTCTGCGACATGAATGGCGCCTCTTCGACGATGACCAGAAGAAGTACCTTATCGTTACAAGGCACCGATGGCCTGCTATCGTAAAAATGGCGCTTATGATGGCAATGAATGTAGGAGCCACGATCCCTGCGGTCTCTCGTCGGGGGCTATCGTTCCGTAATTATGACGGCGGGGACCGGCGGCGCGACAGCAATCGAATAGACTGCGGAAATACACCGGATGTGCGGAAGATACCGGGACCCCCCAGATCTTTTGTCGCAGGACCACAGAGTTCATTCAACACCGGAGAGGTGAAGGGATCGTTCGGGGAATCGACTTCTACTCAGGCGGTGAAGATATTGATCGTCAGATTCCCTTTCTTCAAAACCATCTCTCATGTGAGACTGTGGGAACCTTTTGAGAGCTCCCCATCTTTCTTCGGCCGACAGCTGAATCGAGGAGGCTCCGTCAATATCATACTCTAAGCCCCGAGAATCACATGTGACCTACGATAATATTAATATCTATGTACGTGCCGATAAGAATGGTATTTCATGTGTCCTCGGCAAGCCATCGGATCCTAGATCTCCGTATCCAACTCATACGACGCAGAAGGATTCGTTATCCGGCTCGTTCTCTAATTTTATTTATTCCGTCGACCAGATTGAGTCGCCTCTCCGGAATTTACAATGCAAAAGTCGCCGAGTCTTCCGTGCGATCGAACCTCGAGCATAGAAGGCGGAGATCACCCTCGAAGCTGACAGAGACTGAGTTCCTGATGTTCGAGCTGAGACCCTGATGGACTCTTCCGTGTTCTCTCAGGAAGGTCGAGGAATCTTTGAGGGTGTTGTTTGCCTGGTCTTCTAAAGTGCTTTCTCAGATATGCCGTCCACTGGCAGCAGGAGCTCGCTGGGTCGTTATTCGCGACGTGTGACGAAAGGGAAAGCCTCGAGTGCTCTATGATGATGCTGAATGAGCAACTATATTGCAGAATGACAGGCTACGGCACTCGCGAGCGCGCTTGACAGAGGATGAGGATCGTCGTCACGCGAGACTGGAGGCTGACCGTTTGCTTTATCTGAGGAGCTGATGAAACGAATGAGCGAAGAGCTGCACGCTCTGAAGGGATTCGATTTCATACTCTCCAGATGCATTCGGAGGAAACTGAAGACGAACGGGTGGAAAGATTGTTTGCAATTAGAACCCGGCGTGTTCAGGTCAGGCGGAGGATACATAGCGATTTGAACCTCACAGCTTTTGGGTATGACTCTGCTACAGACTACAGCACGCACCCTGGTGTGAATATTGGGAGAGTTGATCAGGTATGTGATTCCTGTCGATCACTCAGATTCGCAAAAGGGACCCCAGGTATGTGCTGTGCGGGCAGAAGAGTCTAGTTGCCGGAATTGTTCCCGCCGCCTGAGCCCTCAGCGATATTTATACCTGGGAGTACAAATCAATCCAGACATTTTTTAACAAACATCCGAACGTATAACTCATGCTTCCAAATGACATCAATCGGAGCGACGGAAATCATTCAAGACAACCATGCTCAAATGCCAATTATGCGACAGTCGTTCTAAGGAGTCAACGTCGATTTTGAGAGATGAGAAGAGAGCTTGGAGTGTCGAGCCATGGAGCGCCGATTCACTTCTTGAGTCTTCACCAGATACAAGAAATAGACCACGCTTCGTTTTCATTTTGGTGACCGGGCGCAAAAATAAACGATGGTCTTGTTCGCGGTGGGGGCATCGCCAAAGGGTTCACTGGGGCGCGGCGTAGCGCGCGGGTTGCGCCAGTTATACCCATGTATATCGTGTTTGATTAGCCTATAGGATTACCCATTCATTGACTTGTGATATACTCATTCCCAATTTCTGATTGCTGCGTTCGTGAATTGCATGCTTCGAGATTAAGGCTCTCAGGATGTCTCAGGATATCTAGGGCGCCTGAATCAGACCGGAAACAGCTAACGAAATCCTATAGGCTGATCAAACACGATATACATAGGTATGACAGAGTTCGATGGAGAGCACTCTTCTACGAGGTTCTTCACTTCCAGCTGGGTGCAGATGCTCGATCTTCACAGTAAGCTATTTAGTATAGGCTATTTCAGAATGGGCTTTTTCGTTGCACAGTACATAGTCGATGACCTCGTTCTCCCGAGTGAATTTCCTTTCACATTTTTCGGAGGCACTAACTATCATGAGCCCATTCGGGCTCGCGGAATTCTTCAACAGCCAACCTCTGGAATCTTCCACTTCTGCGAATTGGTTTATGTGAGCATTCATGTCACCCCCAATCACTACGTGCGTCTCCCGCTCGCATCCTTGGTGCAGGTATTCTGTCATGTCCTCAAACAGCTGACCATCTTGTCGTCCTCTCTCGTGAGCGACATATACTGACACGAAAATCCATTCCGATCCTCGTATTACTGTTCTCAAGGCCATGAGGTCTCTTCCCCTCTTTGAGGAAATTACTCGACCTAGATCCACCGGGATGAAAATTCCTACCCCGGCTTTCGCGTGTTGCCTTGTTCCCCCTCGCGGTTGCTCCCGAACCACCCGTACTGAGGAATTTTCGGTGGACATTCTTCATTCATAAGCCATGTTTCATTGGCGAATATTATTCCTTTTTTTCACCGATCCGTCCTTCCTGTCGATATCGGTGGATACGTCCTCGACTAACATAAGCACTTCCGTTTGCTCTTTGTTCTGCCCCCCCCCCGAAAATTCAGAAAACCGATTCTGATTTCATAGTCTTTAACAGCGACATCATTTATTCTTGGGGATTCCTTCTTCCGTCGGCTCCTTGCTCGTGTTCTCGATGCTTGCCTCGAATCCTCCGATGAGGCTCTTGGGGGGTATGGTCGTCAGTTGGGATGGCCCTGTCCCCCTTCTCTTTCCGTATCGCGAATATCCAAAAATTCATCGCGGTCTCGATGAGGCCCACGCCACCCCCCACGAAGAAGGTCGAAATGTGACAGAGACTCAGATTGCCCCACAGGGGAGTCATTCCCATTCCGATCGCTATCGCCAGCGCCGATACAAAAGCCACGTGCTGCATGTTGAAATGCCTGAAAATTGCTCCACCTGCAAGGAGCCACCCCCCTTTATTCTCGTGATACGACGGTGAATGCGGTCATGAGTAATAATCGAGAATTACGGATTCATCTGGTAAGTGAGAGCGAGTCCACGCAGAGTTTCCGTCAAGGTACGAGTATCTAAGCCGTTGAGAACGCGCATGATTCGAGCATCGTTCTGGACATATTTGTTTCGCTTTCCTGGAGCGGCGTGCCCAGCGATGTATCTTTCCAGCTCCGCATCTTTCGACCGCTGAGCATTTCTGATTCCATCGATGAACTTCAACAATCCAGGATGGTGGACCCCAAACTGCCCCTGAAGACTTCTGTGTGCTGCTTCGGTGTAATTATTAGTGCGAGAATCGCCCTGGAGTTTTCGCTGGTACACAGTCCACATAGAGACCGGGGAAGTGGCGTCTCTACGTCCCCAGGATCCGTCGCTCCTGACCTGGAGACGCCCAATATCATTATCTTCGAAGTAATCGAGTACCGGCTTGAGATCCGCGGGTAGTTCGTCGCGGAGGTCTGTCAACGCGCTTTCCATACGATCCGGTCTTATATGTAAAAGCGAGAGCCGAGATCATCCTCGCTTTCAACGCGAAATCGGGCTCATTCCGATATTTCCTGCTCAATCCTTGCGCAGCAACTTGTTTTTTCATATTTCGGACTAGATGAAAGAAACATCCATTTATCTGTGCGACGGAGGAGAACGCTGTGAACGCGTTCATCAAAGCTTTCTCGTAATCCATGGATATAGCTTGCGGATTGAAGTTTCGCTAACCGAGAGTCAGCATGTCTAGCATCTGGAAGTGAGGGAAAATATATATGTACCAGCGTTTGGTGCGCCCTTCGGGCGCGCCCAACGCTGGATCGTTGCGCTGCTGGTGCAGACATTTGCCTTGATCATTTGGTCTCCTGCGACTCCGGAATTTCGATTCAAGTGAGAACAGTCGCTCACCATCTATGATCATGACTCGTCGATTGCCAAGCTCCGATGATTCGTTGTTTTCACTCGCGGGGAAGTGTTTTAGGAACGGCCAGATTGAGTGCGAATGAAGATTAATGAGAGTGATGAAGGATGAGGGGCAATGATTCGTTCGGATCAGTTCCAATAGAAAATTTCCGTTCTTGCGGGAGATTTTGGAGACTACTGATCGGCGACCAAAGCATTTGTACATTACTTTTTATCAATGACCGTATGACGCCTCGGGTGGGTCTATAAAAGGGAATCGAAAAGCATGCATGGCATTCGTCGTTGAGAAGTCAGCTTC